GGTGCCGACGGGAGCCCGCCTGAGGTATTGAAACACGTCGGACCCGCGATGGTGACTGCGCTGCATTACTTGGTGCAACGCATATAGATTGAGGAGGAGGTGCCTCCTGAGCTGAAAGATGCCCTTGTGCTACCACTGTACCAGGGCAAAAGTAGCAAGCAATGTTGCACGAATTATCGTGGCATCAACTTGCTGAGTTGTGTGGGCAAGCTGATTGCCCGAATCCTGCTCAACCGCCTCGTCAGTCAGGTTGTGGAACCTAACGTGGCGGAAGAGCAGTGTGGATTCCGTTCGGGTCGCAGCACTATAGATATGGTGTTTGCGACTCGTCAGTTGCAGAAGAAGTGCAGCGGATGACATCAGCCGTTGTACTCGCATTTAGTTGATTTCACGAAGCCATTTGATACGGTGAACCGCGAGGCATTGTGGCTGGTGTTGGGTAAGTTTGGTTGCCCGCTTAAGTTTGTAAGTCTAATTGTATGTCTGCACAGTGGTATGTGGGCGAGAGTGCAGCTGAGTGGACAGACCTAGGATGAGTTTGCAGTTGTCTCTGATGTAAAGCAAGCCTGTGTCTTAGCTCCTATCCTGTTTACTATTTATCTTCATGCCATGATGTCTTGTGCTTTTGATGCCGCTTGTGCTTACGGCGTTCGTGTAAAGCACCGTATTGATGGTGGGTTGCTGAACATCCGTCATTTCGATGTGAGAACCCTGGTCTCTGAGACAACTATTCGTATTCTGTGCGCAGACGACTGTGCGTTGTTTGCACAAAGAGCGGATGAGTTGCAGCACATGACTAGTGCTCTGGCTTTGACAGCGGCTAAATTCGGACTCAACATCAACACAAGCAAAACTGTCTAACTCTTTCAGCCTTCACCGGAGGTGCAATCTGCAATGGTGCCACAAATCAGCAATGGTGATGGAGTATTGGAAACCACCTCCCGCTTCTACTACCTTGGGAGTGTGGTTTCGATTGACCTGCAAATACACAGTGAGCTGCGTATCCGCGTATCGAAGGCTATATTCGGTAAGCTTGAGTACGGAGTGTGGAACAACGACCAGCTTACCATTAGCACGAAACTGATAGCGTACAAATCCATGGTGCTGTCCGTTCTTCTATATGTCAGCGAAAAGTGGACAATATACCGGCGAGATGTGAGATATCTCGAGCGGGTTCATCAACAGTGTCTGCGACGGATTCTGCGCATCGGTTGGTACGACACGGAGATGTTGCATCGAAGTGGAATGTGCGCAGTAGATTGTATACTTTTGCTGAGACACCTGAGGTGACTCGGTCATGCTTGCCGTATGGATTCGACGCGGATACCGAAGCAGTTGTTATATGACCAGCTGAGCGTGAGAAGGCGGCATGTGAGGAAACCGAAGCTTCGTTACCAGGACATGATCAAGGTGAGCCTATGACGTCCTATTGATTTCAGGTGGGAATCGAAAGCGGTTGGTCGGTGTGCATGGCGCAATCTGACCATGAACGCAGTTATCGAGGTGTAGAGGAAAGTCCTCGTGTATGTACAGAAGAAGCGGGAGGCGCCGATAGTGCACTCTATGGACGTCGAGCGCATGGTGCTGTAGCACATGCAGCCGCGGGTGCCTGAGTCAGGCAGGCCTAGTGAGCTACGAGCGAAGCCACTCACGACCAGCATCGAAACGACGACGAGTCCTGCTGAGAAGGTCAGCAGATCCGGCATACAGTTGGTATGTACGCTGCACGCGCTTCCATTCGATTTACTAACTGCGTGCTTGCATTCTGAGTTTCTTTATTTCAGGTGATTGGTTTGCCATATGATCTTAATGCTTATTTCGTTATCTCATTTTAATGTCTACCTGAAGAACCTTCTATTAACTTGCACATGTCGCTTTAACGAAGTGTTTCGCGTTTGTTGCAGTTTTTGATCTCGTTTTCGGACATCGTGAATTTATCGCGGATTTGTTGATAACCCATTTATTCTATATGCAGATTTAGCGAAGAGTTGTGTTGGCATATCCATAAGCTTTATACGATTACTTTTATTTGATATTGTCATTTCAAGTGTTTAGCTGTCGTTTGACATCCCCGGTGTAGCTGCGCTTGATGTGAATGTTGACATGGTGTCTACCTGTCTAGCACACTCCACCTCGATTAACTGATTCCAGGAGACTGTGAATTGTTGCTGGAGGGGACGGGGTGCACGGTCCTCATGGCTGTGCTAGACTCAAAGAGTGGTTCCATCCAGTGTGGAGCGGACTACGGACAAATCAAGGTCTTATGTGCGCTTGATTCCCCAAATACAGCGTGCTTGTGCCTGCCTGTGAAGTAGTGTGGGCCGGCTCCGTTGTTGAAACCTGGCTCTTATCTGCATGGCTCCCGGTCTTATTCCATCGGGTTTACACTGGATACGGGGTGCGGGGATGGTTGTGGGTGGTGCAGCGAAAGCCACCCATGGTCCCTCTGTAGGCGCAGGCGTCCTATGGCTGTCCCCGTGGAGGCCGTAGTGACACGCAAATCCGGAACCGGATGTCACCAACCATATATAGCATTGCAGATGATACCTTTCTAGTTTCCCCAGCTGATGGTCAAGGTAATTTTCAAACTCATCCTCTCTTTCAATCCATCCTCTTTATCTGATGCGCTACTAAGGCAGTATAACTACCACATTCGAAAGAGGAACTGGGCCGTGTTCGTGACGCCAACCTTGGATTTGCGGTGCTGTCTTTGCATCTAAGTTAGTGTTGACAGTGTTCCTCGAGCCGAATGGTATAAGAAGGGCCTGCTAGAGGCACGAATAGTTTATGGGCACCATTTTACCGTATTTTCTTGGCGATGGACACGTTTTAGCATTTCGTTTGGTGCAGGATGCCACGCCGTCGGTATAACGATGTGCAGCCTACTCCCCCATGCAACATGGCCTCGAAATGCGACCCTCGTTTCACTGTCACTACGGCTGTGTATTGTATTTACTACCCAACATTTCTGGGCATAATCTCGAAGTCGGGACTTCCCTAGCTATCCGGGGAATAATCGTTGCAGTTAAATGGACAAACAAAGTCACTCGATGATGAAGTGCGTACGGGGGCTTGGATGTACAGTGAAAACGTGCGCAGTAAGCACGTTTACCAATCTCCGCTATCTGTTCCTCTAGGGTGACATTGCCCTCGCCCTGACGGACAGAGTTTACAATGTAACCGCCCGTTTAGTCCTCTATACGGCTGCGAAACTTGGCCCATCAAATTGACAGACATAAAGAGGCTAGCTAAGTACGATTATCGTTGTCATCGCAGCTTAGCTCATGTCCGATAAGAACACCGCATGAGTAATGTGCATGGTCGGTGTTGTGTACTTGATGCAGGAAGAACGAGTGAATCGCTCAACACCGTTATAACATACACCAGGCTCCGATAGTTGGGCCACGTATTGCGCGTGCTAGCACATAGACTTCCGCGACGTGTGTTGTTTGCGCGCCGGGGGCGTGGATTAAAGAAGAGGAGGAGGCCAAGCGATGACTTGTTCAAGAGGGATGAAGACCCTGACTTCGAAGCTGGCGTTGGTTGGTATCTCCCGACTGCGGGGCTGGAGACCGAAGGACGTGAACACGTTTGGTTGGATACGGTTTTTGACATGGCGAACAGCCAGTCTCATTGGTGCTCGCATTGTAAGTAACTTTGCCTCTTCCCTCCACTTTAACTTCTCCTTCCAACCACGATCTCACTCCGGAAGAATAAGATGAAAAGGTCTGTATTTTGCATTCTGTAACGTTTTGTATTTGGCCTTTTTCATATGCATTACCTTTTTAGATTGCAGTACAATAGCCGAGGTGTTCTTAACCCTAGCTAATGTGTAGCGATGATGATGATTCCGGTGAAAGTGACACACACTACGGACTACTCGTAAAACGATGAAATTAGTGCGTTCGATGTGAGGATAAAAAGTAAAGAAAACAGATCATAAACTACCGTATATTGCCGAATATAGGTCGACATTATAAATGCCGACAGTATAACACCATTAGCTAATTGGTCTAGTCTTAAGTAGCTATTAGCCAAGCCCCAAAAATATCAGCAAAGAAGAAACGAACTTCTTCCTTCACGATTTTGAGCCTACTAAAAGGAAAAAAATGCTCAAAAATCATCGGCTTATATTCGGTAATATATAGTAAAATGATAAGCCGAAGCTCGCAACGAAGGAAGGACAGATGGAGAGGAGGGATAGTTCAGTGAAAGGATACATGGGTGCAAACATTTCTTGCACTACGATTGATGCGACTAACGCATTGGAACTAGCAGGTGAACGAGGTCAACAGTTACACCGTAGCCAAGTGACCTCACAGCTTGCTCCACAAGTTTCAGGAATGAGTTCAGGGGTAAGAGAGGATGTATAGGAAGTAAAATCACGCCGGTACATCGTACGGAAGCTTTGTTGCCCTGCAACCACCACAAGTAGCGTGTGGGTTATGTATACTGCAAGGTAGTGTGCTCTCTAGTTGACTCGAACCGGTGACCTCTTTGGATTACAGGTCAGATACCGGTAACAATCTCTTAGAAGTTAGAGAACATTTGATGAAAGCAGTGGAGGACCAGAAGCTGGCCGACTGCCGAGTGGAACCGAGTTTTATGAAGCAGTAGACTGGAGATTCGGTACAACCCATAAGAGAAGAAAAATCAGTGGGCACATATAGGTTCGAAAGGTGTGAAACTGCTGTTGTTGTGGTGATTAACCGATTGCGCCAGCCGTGACATGATAGGATCACATGCTGATGTCTGCAGAGTAATGAAGAGAGTGTAAATATTGAAAAGCGAAATGACGCCGGGTAACGGGGGTGTTGCAGGACCGGGATCCACGCTTCTTACTCTATGGGCAAAAGGGGTGCATAACGCCAAGTATAAAGTAATACAAATTAAATAAAGGGGATTGTCATGGTGAAAAAGTGAGAAATAAAGAAATTCGAAACAACGAACTCGGGGTTTTTAAGTGCGCGGCTGATAGTGGTCAATTCAGAGTAACTTACGTGGGCCAAGTAGATTGACATGAGAGGGGTGTGTGCTGACCAGTTTGTAATTCATGCAAATAATTCGTACGTCCAAATTTCACTAGCCCAAGTGAGGAAGCTGAATGGGCGTCCGATTCAGCAGAGGTAAAATGTTGAAACAGACTATCCAAATTGGATCGTTTCAACGCTAGATCATCGGGAGCGACACGGTGTAGGGGAGCCATACGCATATCTTTCCGCAATTCAAATTGCATGAAGGGTCCGGAGGGAAGTGGTAAGGATGAGGTCACCTCCTAAACACAACAAAATGCGAGTAATTGCATCAACAGACACAGGTTACCTTTTTCTGTCCCCCTTTAACCAAGAAGCCCAACAACACTGCTCGCTGTTTCTCCTCTTGTTTTATCTTAAAATCCTCCTCTCTTTTTCGCTCCTGCTCTTTCTGGAGTCGCTCTTCATCTTTTTTACGCTTTTCTTCCCTGTATAAATGAGTAGTGGAAATGAAATAAAACGCACTCCTTCCGTTTTCTTTCTGCCTCTTTCTCCTCATCTCGTTTTCGCTGCTCTTCCAGTCGTCTTTGGCGTTTCTCCTCTTTGATACGTTCCTCTTCCTCTTTCTTGGCCTGCTTCTCCCGAGATTTAAGCTCCTGAGTTGAGAGACATCATGAGAAGCATCAATGGGAACAAACTTTTTCCTCTTGCTTCTTTTTCCGCTCCAACTCCATTTGGTGTTCGCGCATAATTCGCTGACGCTCTCGCTCCGCGCGCTTCAGCGCCTTCTGGTATTGCGTCAGCACCTTTTTACCGGTGGAGCCGGGGGACTGTAGCAAGCAGGGGAGTGGGAAACCAGGAAATATCAAACAAGTACGGTGAGACGCGACAACGGTAAACAGAGAAAGAAAAAAATATTGTCAAGATAATTGATGATGGAAACAATCAATAAACGAAATAATAACGAAGGCAGCATAGCAATACTTTGTGCCGACAAAAACTGATGGGAGAGCATAATGTGAAAACATGCAAAATGAGCACTCAAGAGCAATTCACCTACATGCTGCCGATAGGGCGCGATCACCCACAGCCGGATGTCATGGGTAAATAAGGTGACATCAGCGAGGTAGATTTCTTGTGAGTCGTTGTCAGGTACCACAATAAACGTTGCTCAGATAGCATAGAATCAGACACATGCAGTCCGACTAGGGGACGGAAGCAAAGGTGCCATTGGTGCCGGTCACTAGTTAGGTCATGTGATGCATTTTGCGTCAAGTATGTGGCGAACTGTTTGTACCTCAGCCTGGAGCACGAAATGAACCAACAGTAACCTGCGTTGTGTTGAGAGATCACACTTCCGGTCGCCACTCCATCGGAACACACCAGCCTAGATCACGTAAAAAAACCAACGCCATGTTTAGAAAGTGGGTAGTCGCAAGTGGAAAATAGAAGAAACAACGTAATTTACCCAAATTTCTTTGTTGGTCTAAAGAGCTGAATTGAACACTGCTGCCAGGTTAATGTCTGCACATCGAATGCTCACGGACGCACTGGCGTTGCTCGACGGAGTCGGTGTTCTGAAAGCAAAGGTGCTTATACCTAAATGGGCTTGTAGTTTTCAGACACAAGTAGTCAATTTCCACTGCCCTAAGGTAGAACTAACTTTGTTGAGATCTGGAAAAACTGATCTGAGAATGAAAAAAAATACCCGACTGATTCCAGCGACATTAGCGGTAAACCGGCCCCTTGTGCTGATGCCCCGCTACCGTGCGACCGTAAGCAGTGACACGAGCACAGGGGCATTCAAACCTGAAAAAATGGGACTGCGAACCCGGAGAGCATAGGTTGCAGGCCAGACACATGAATCACAAAACCACAACACCAAAGATGTCGAAGATCAAGAGGACGGTTTAATTTCTTGCAATACGTGTACAGACCTCTGTGGTTACAAGCGCTGTTGGCGAAGAGAAATATGAACAAACGGTCGTGCCACGCTTTTCTGCGTGCGTGATGGCTATCTGAAAGAGTTTAGACGAAATGAACTTTCTCAAAAATATCTGATGAGCGACAAATCCTCAGACTAATCACTGCCTTAACAGATAACGACTCGCCGCGTGGTAATATGTGTGCAAACCGTAAAACTGCGAAAAATCTGATCGGGATTCATAAGCGATGTGATCAGTCAGCACTCTTACAAGATATTAACTAATTTCAACAGGAATGCGCCCACCGATGTAAATCCAACTGCCAAGATAGATTAATTAGACAACTGGAAACAGTCCGTTGCCCTAAGGACTCAATGGAAAGCAAACAACTGAGGGCCCTGCAACAGAATTCAGGAATGCTAAAAATTAGATCACAACGGAGCGCTGGTTAGGTTTTGATGCAAAAAACAATTATCAGATAGTAAGGTGAAGCTCACAGTGTCCAGGTCAACAAATTTCCCGAGAAATGACCTAAAAACTACCCCGTGGAATAATGCAGCGAAACATATCATGATGGAGTCAACGAACAAATTTAACAAAGCCGGAAAAACAGCAACGTCGGGGAGTTGCGAGCATCATCAGAAAGGTAGTAGATAACGCGACAAAGACTGGTGCATCCTGGGTGTTCAAATATGAGGGAAGTTACAATTAAGTAGGCCGCATGGAAAGTAGCAGATAGAATGGTCGAATGCGCTGTCAATGAGGTTACCAATTTCGAAAAGGGTCAATGGACTTTGCGCGAAATTTACCGAGGCATTCGCCTTATTTTCATTGCCTTCAAACTTCGCACTAGTATCATTTTACGGTAACTCATTGGTCTTCGTGAGAGCCGAATCCTCGAGGGCTAGGCTGGCTACTGCTCTGGTCATGGTTACATCGACCATATCCTTACAAGCTGACCGGCAAGTAGCCTAGAGGTAACGGGCTTGTCTCGTAATCATGCGGCGCGGGTTCGAATCCACGTAGGGGTGGGCGTCCTCGCGGTATACTAAGCTCGCGTGCGACTGGTGGTTGTCGCCCGACAGCGAAGCGTTACGGCGTACAGCTGACACACACATCAGACGACCGACTATGACGGTTCTTCTTGACTCAGATGCTTCCTTCAAGTGTGTGGATCATGCCACCTTGTGATATTGCCTTCCGGTGAATAGTGTATCAGAGAAGCTCTTTTCGATTCGGAAGCTTTTCTGCCGCTACTCTCAAGGTCCGGTAAGGGTCTAGAAGAAGCTGTCTCCTGAGCTGCCGACTAAAAATGGCGTTCGATGGGGTTGTTCTATACCTCCAGCTCCGTAATCATAGTGGCCATAAACGACTCGGTTCTTACAACCTCTTCAGGAGGAAGAATCATGTCAGGTGACCGACTGACAGAGCTTGAATATGCGGACGAAATAGCTTTCTTTGGGTCTGACACAGTACTCATAAAAGCATTCCTGAATAGACTGGTGCGTGGCTCCGCACGCTTCGGTATGTGCTTTGTAACTTGAAAATAAGAAGTACTGTCGCGAGAGTAGACCACCGGTTTTAGCCCTTACTAAGCAAAGAAGTGGTGAAGCGATGCACCTACCTTGGTAACAGTGTCATCACTGGTGACACCAGGAGCGCCGTGCAGACGTCCAGAGGCAAAACCATCTATGTAGATGGTGGGATATCAGTCTGTCAGTGAAAATTAGGGTGAGACGCTGCGATAAGGCAGGTGTTACTGTATAGCTCAAAGACCTGGCCCGTTGGAAGTGAAGAAATTAAAATATTGGTCGTGTTTGAGCACCGATGCTTGCGGAGCATTGCCCACAACTGGTGGAGACATTGGCTGAGCAATGCTGAGGTCCGCCAGTTGGTCTTTGAAAAAAGTCCTCTGGTGCATCACTAGAGTGTCTGTTGGATTTGAACCGATTACGCTGGCTAGGTCATGTCCTCCGTATGCCCGTTGACTGGCTTCCTCCGCGTGTACTATATGTCATGGCTGCGCCAAATCTGGCGAAGCGGCCAGTCGATGACGCAGCATAAAGGTATGAAGAAACTGACAGACTTCGGCAGGCGGAGGCGAGCTGTCTTCGTGGATGGAGGCCTCAGGATGGTCCAGACCAGTGGTAGGAGACTCTATCAAACACAGTTAGATCGCGCAGACACTGGCGTTCTTGCATTCAACTGTTGCATCTAGCTGTTAATTCTCCATCACGATTAGTTCTGTTCATGTCTATCGTGATTCCAGTTTCTATACTATTTGGGTCAAACCACATTTTCTTACCTTTGTATTCTATTGTTATTTTGCGGACATTTGTAACAATTGAATCCACTATACAAATGCTCCCGGATCATATTTGTCCAACTGAACTGAACTCTCCTCTCCCGCTCACATTACTGTTCATGCGTTAGCTCACTGTGGTTGTACGGTCGCGAAGTATCAGTTCTAATCGCTGGTGATGTGGGTGCCATGTTTGTGAACTCTAGACAATGATCGGGATGAGGGAACGTGATCTCGCTTGATCGACCACCTTTGACATGATGCGCACCCTCAATAGCTTGTGTTAACACGATCGGTTTGGGACTGGAATCCGGTGGGTATTACTTAAGACGATGTGAGCGTTAGTGCGGAAAAGCAGTGCTGCTGATCTCAAGGTAGTGATCCGTACACAAATGAAGAAATCGATCGTCATTATCTGATAGGCATACATTGAAATCGAAATGACTTTCCAGACGTTTTTCGCAAACCGATAAGTGAAGAGCTTGCACACTCATGCCCCTAACGACGATCATGACATTTGTACTTGTCGTCATATGGCTGAGAGATAAGAACTGCAGTCGGTTGGCACATAGACCGGATTAAGGAGCCTGGTCTTCTAGAAGGATCTGTTAACTAAAAATAGGCCCGACGTGGGACCACACACACACATACCGCTTTTAAAGAAAGTAAGAAAGCCATCAGCAGTACGTCATCCTGGTCGCATTTTGCTCGTGTCCTCGTCAGGCCAGTTTACCTCGTCCTTTACATTGTCAAAGTCGTTTTATCCCATAAATATTTGTGTAATTCACCTTAGTGATTTAGAATTACTTAATCATAAATACATGTGCCAGTTAATTGTATTTTCTGTGATTCTACATTACGCCGATCTAGCCGTATCGATCGGTACTTAATTTTGAAATGGCAAAGCAGACACCTTGTGACAGTTGCTCCAAAGTCGTTGGATATCGCGCGAATGCGATTACATGCAGTTTGTGCAGCGTGAAGTTACATATTTCGTGCATTGTTCTGTTTGTGGACCAATGTCGCGTAATTCAAGGGATTAAGCGCCACCTTTTGAAGACCATTTGTAAGCAATGTCAGTCTAAGCTTGGACAGAAAGGAGTGGAAAAGTCTGACAAGCGGATCAGTAGAGCGAAGTGCACTGAAACGCGCAGCTCGATTTGTCCTGCACCACAATCAGAGAAACAGCCACCACCCAGTACGCCAGCGACTCTATCCCTGGAGCAAAGTGCTAGCGCTCTGGTATGCTCAGCTTCAACGCCTACGATTTCTTCAGTTGACACTAAAGCTCTGATGTGCAATAAGCAAGCTGGTGATAACGAATGGAAAAAGCAAATAACAAAGAAACCGATAATAATGTCCAACGACCTGAGGCGCCGCAACCTAATGGTCTTTGATGCATCTGAGTCCTGTGATTCCAAACCTCAGGTGCGCTATGAACATGACACCGAGTTTTCGCAAAGTCTGATTGATAGACTGGTCGACGTGGAGGAGGATGGGCTAAAAGTGCAGCAGATCGCCCGTCTCGGAAAGAGAGCCGAGGGCAAAAATTGACCTCTGAGGGTGACGTTTATTGAAGAGGCAAGTCGTGAGAGTTAATATTCC